CACCACCGAGAGAGCTTAAGCGACTGGAACCACCGCCGTCGGTGCTGTGAGTACTGCTAACCAAACCAGACTCCGCGCTGGCATTGCTGCTGCAACTGCTCACCGCATCACAGGAGGGCGGCTGCGAACTGCTGGTGATGGAACACGTGCGCAGGGAACTCGTGTTCACTGTGGCACCGGCTGTACTTGCCAAAGCGCTGCTGTCCACACTGCGCACATCAATCGGCAATGTGCAGGTGACAGGTGTCAGCAGATCAGAGGCGGTCACAATATCCACTTTCCCGGTCACTGCCATCGAGCGTCCCAATTCAATATCATCTATGGACTTTTCTTTGTAATCAGACTCCAGTTTCGGGACCTTGGTGGGCGGAAGATCGTCGAAGACTAGGGGAGCGTGGTCGCTGGCACTCACTTCCGTAGTTTCCTTTGGGGAGTGTGAGACGACAGTGGACTCCTCAGACACGTCCATGGGAGCCGGTTCGGGTGCTGGTATGACCTCCTTTTGAGTTGACTCCTTGGCTTCTGCAGGAAGTGGATTCCTCGAGGGGTCCTGGGCGAGAAGAACGGTGTGTTGACCGCCGGCGTCAATCATTACAATCCTCCTAGAAAAAATAACATTTCATTTGCAGGGGCTTGAGTATGAGAAATTGAAAGGGCCGCAATGCCAAGACTTTTTACATCACAATAACCGAACGATTCGTGACCTTTTTAAAGGTAATCTATTCCCTAAATGGGTGGCCATACACACACGAAGCATTACAGCCGGCTTTCTCTTATGGACGGTTCACTACTCACTATTTGTAGACTTGTCCAATAGCCCACAACTAAACTAAATAGCGAACTTTTACATCCGAATCACACACGATTTATCAAAGACGCGGAGTGTTTGTACAGCGGTATATATACCACTAGGTATTAAATATAGCCTATCGCTGTATCCTAAGGCGTGTTTATTCCCGTGTTAACATTAAGCCATGCTGGAATTTAGTACAAGGTTATCTGTAGTAAGAAAAAGAGGTATTCACAACTTACAAAAAACTGACTGCTTCATTTCTCTCTTCTCTACTCTAGCGCCATTATCGCGAAATTCATTAATTTCAGGCACTGTGTAGACCCAAAGGAACCTTAAGCTCCCGCGTCGGCGTCTTCTGGAAAGACAGAAGCGGCTGGTGGTCATGTGCGCATGGAACCTCATACAAGGGCCGCGTTTACCGCATGGTCAAAGGTCAAATAACTGCATGCAATTAACTCTGTGCTCACCCCACCTCTCATCCCCCTGACAGGCCTCTCCATAATCCTTGCTACCTATGATAACAGCCCCCCTCCCTCATTCCCACAATTCACTTTAATCGACTTCTCTAATCACTGACATACAGTACGCGACCCTGTTCTCGTAGATATACGGACCTGATGAGAATTTACCGAAAGTAATCGTATTGAGACGACTCGACCGCTGGGACAATACTCTTATTTCAGTATCAGTTTATTGAGGGAAAGATAGGCGAATGCCTTTGAACTCCCT